ATAAAGCGATTCAAGTCTCTCTGCCATTCTTTCAAGTTAAGTTCATTTTTTAGAATAGGTATCGTCTGAAATAAAAAAAGAAACTTAGGTAAAATGTTCATTTTGATGGCCGCAATACGACCCAGCAAGGAAAAATGAAGTTTTTTCCACATTGATAAGTCTTTTTGTACTGATTTCCACAATTTTTCATAATTATTCTCAATCTCTTTGATTTAATAGATTCTTCAATCTATGTTTGGCTGATTAAACTCTTCATACCTATGTTTGATATAGTGTTAATATTTATGAAGGATTCTGATTCTTGTAATGATGTTCTTGATAGTCCAGGTTTCAGCTGCGGAGGTATACACACCGCCAGACTTTCCTGTGGAGAATGGGACTGAAGCAAAGCTTCCATGCACTTTTACTTCCACAGAAGTGATCAGCAGTTCAACTTCTGTCACCTGGAGTTTCCAAGGCGAGGGATCATCATCTCTTGTCTCGGTAAGATATTGTTTGCAAAAGAAAATTGTAAGAAGTAAAAAGCCCTGCCTGTTCTTGCTTGCTCCTTGTACTACTAAAAGTCTGATTGTTCCCTTGAAATGTTAGTTAAGATATTAATTGTATTTTGCTCCAAAATTGGTTGCTACCAAAAGCCTTGCTTAGATGAGGAAATGCTTTAACCCACTTCACCTGCTTGGGTTAGTTATCTTTTATCTTAATACGATGGGAAAATAAAAAATTAATACCAGAAGGAAATCATGTAATAGTAATAGTTATCAGTTCAGTAGTTTGGGAAAAAAACAGAATTGAGGAAAGTGAGGCAGAGCAAGATAACTGAGCTCCTGGAATTACCTTTAAAATTCTTGTGATATTATGTGTAAAATATTTCTCTGACCTTTCAACTGGTTTAAAACCAGCTTTACAGGCTCTCAAGTAGAATATTATCATTGTCTTGCACTTTTGCACTATTTTGAAATTCATGTATGAGTTGAGTTTTAAAGAAATTTAGATTAGTTAAGAAATAGGGGAAAGCAGGTTTTTTAATACAGCATATTTTTTGTGTTTTTGATTATAGTTCTTCTATTATTCCAATGGAAAAGCATATCGTGCGAAGAGTACACAATTTGGTGACAGAAGCAGATGGGCTGGAGACCTTAACAGAAAAGATGCATCAATCACTATAGCAAACATGCAATTTCAGGACAATGGAACCTATATCTGTGATGTTAAAAACCCTCCAGATATGAATATTACACCCGGAAAAATCAAAGTCAGGGTTATGGTGAAAGGTATAGTAATAAGTGGATGGAATGAAAAATTACTTAATGAGTGATGGAGAAGTTGTGCGTAAGTTGCATTCTTTCTCTAAAATTAGTGTATGTAACAATGCGCTGAAACAAGTACTTGTTTGGCAACAATTAAGAAGTGTGTGTTCATGTTTCTTCTGTCTATCTCTTCTAGTATAAGTAGGATAATTTGACTAGGGGCAAAAATACTTATTCCTTTCAGATTGGTTCTGCAAGTTGAACTGGGCTGGGTAGATATTAATAGGCAAATGAAATAATGCTCCAGATGGTTGCCTACAAACAGCTTGCTTCAGGTGTAGGTAACCTACTATATTTCAGGTATTCAGATATAAACCACTGTCATTCAATAAAAGTTCAATAAGCACAAATCTTCCTTCTGTATCAAAATCTATTAACTTTGGCAGTAATTCTTTCTGAACATAAAAAACTATACCTGCTTTTTTCTTTGGTGCAGGGCAATAAAATGTAGACCCAATTTAGAGTTAACCAGATATTTTTGATCTTTTGATGCAATGTGCGTTTCTTGCAAACATATAATATCATTTTTGTATTGTTTCAAATAATGAAATATTTTCTTCCTTTTTTGTGGTGAGTTCAATCCATTAACATTTAAAGTCATTAACTTAGCCATCTTTCGGCTTTTGGAGCTTCTGGAGCATTCCTTGCAGGTCTGCCATGACAGATCTTTTGGATCTAGCCCCTCCCACTGGCTCTGAAGTAAACGAGTATGTTTGAGGCATAGATTCTTTTTGTTGTAGGATTGTAGTTGTAGTATTGAGTAGGATTATCTTTTTTGCTCGTGTATGTAAATGCATCATATTGGTATTTGCTGTTCAATTACAAAAATTAATAAACATTTTATATAAAAAAAAGATATAAACCACTGTCATTTTGGCCAGCAAGGAAGGACTCTGGGGAGTTGTCATCCATACCATTTAGAGAATACCAAGGTAGCAGCTTCTTGCAGAGTTATTAATCCAAGCATTACATTACAAAGTCAGCAAGTTCTACTTCTCAAGTCATTGAGTTGGTAAGGTACTGGATGCTTACAGAATACATCTGATCAAGATAGGACCAAAAAAATGTTAAAATATTTCCATGTTCAATCAGACTGTTTTAAAATCTAAGAATACATCACAATTTTTCAATAGTAGATCAAAGGAGTATGGAGTATTCTTTAACAAACAAAATATAATAAGTTAACATATTTTCAAAATATTTCAATTCTCATTGCAGCAGTTCATAGTGGTGTCAAGTAACATGTGACCATCTAGATGTTGTTGAACTCAAATTTAGATTAGTCCTTGTAAGCCTGTCAAAATGTTGAGGAATGGTGCAAGTTGCAACTTGATAACATTTGAGGTGGCCATAGACTGTCCATGCTTAATCTATGCTTTATCTATAATTATACCAATTATTATACTGCTGAGTTCCTTCTTACTATTAGGAAATCCGCAAAAGAAACACTCTTTAGTGAAACTAGAAACTAAGCAACTTAATGCATCTTAAAGATGTGTTGGTGTTCTATCAACATCAGCCCTGATCAACATGACTAATGGCAAGGAAATTTTAGTCCAAACTATTTACCTGGTTTGAGTCAGGCTACTATTACTCATAGTAATAAAATGATGAGCCTATTCAAATACATCTTGGATTTTAAAAAGTGGATTTTAATAAATTCAGAGAATGAAAAAGATAGGACTGAGCTTATGAATGATAGGGAATATCTATAACTTCTCAAGACCAAATGAACTGCACTCGGGGCATTGAAGGAATATCTTCTGATGGCCAAACCTTACAGTATTCTTAAGAAATTCTGGACAATGGACAAGGTGCTAGCTGCTGGGAAAACAAATACTCTATCTTAAAATGGGAAGGGGGGAGAAATAATCTAGAGAATATAGACAAATCATTCTGACATTAAATAAAATGGGAAGTCTAGAGCACGTCCTAATGTGCTGTACCACTGACATACACACACTCATCATGGTGTTAGGAGTCTTTATTAAGGCTTCCAAGCCTGAATTAGTATTCCCCACCAATTCTGTATGCCAGCACCGGCTCACCCACAATGAGCTCAGCAGGCTACTCAAAAGAAGCCAGCACTAGTCCACAAGGCAAAGGCAAGTCCAGTCCAGTAGGCAAAAGTAAGTCCACAAGGCAAAGGCATGTGCCAAGGCAAAACAAGTCCACAGGGCAAGGCAAGTCCACAAGGCAACGATGAATCCACAAGGCTAAGGCAAAAGTAAATCCACAGGGCAAAAGCAAGGCCACAAGGCAAAGGCAAGCTGAGAAGGCAAAAGCAATTCCACAGTTAAAGAGGCACAATCCGAAGTTCAAGGCAAGAACACAGAGCAAGGAATGGACATGTTCCCAGCATTGTTTCACTCGCCTTACTGAACTAAATAACTGTTTCCTGGTGCAGCCCCTCAAGAGGGACAAGGCTGCCTTTTTGCAAGTAGACTGGCTGATGATCTTCGTGCCTGCCTCCTCTCAGCCCTACGTGCTCTTGGATCTGGAGGAGGAGGAGCCAGATTGTCTTCATCTCCACTGACCAGCTTCAGCTGTGTGCCCTCTCCATTCGAAGTCTCTGGGCTCCCCAGCTTCAGCTGTGCCTCTCCTGTCTCTAGCTCAGCCGGCTACTTGTCTGGTTGCTCCCTGTGCTCAGCCCCTCCGCTCTTGGCTTATAGCCTTCAGCTGCATCCCTTCCTGACGTGCCTGAGACTGGCTCAGAACTCCAAACTACCATCTGGGGAAGCATCTAGGGGAGTCGTCACACCGAAAGAGATTGTTTTCTAAGTGGTATAAGATTGGTCTGGTAATTGTCAGAAGGCCACATGAATGGTAACATGAATTTGTCAGGAAAGTTTGCCAAATTGATCTTATTCCAGATTAAGGAATAATGATTAATTATTCCTTAATCTGAAATAAGGTTTGTTTGATTCATAACTTTTTTAGTAAATGACAGAAATGCTACAATAAAACATAATTTTATTTTAGTAAAATATTTTACAAAGTGCTTTTGCATTCTGATGAGCAAGCTAGTGTGTGAATGCCATTACAGTTAAGCATATATGTAACGGTAGTTGAAAATCATACTTGGAGAATACTGTCAAAGGTTCACCAGTTGGAGTAAACCACTATATAGTCTTGGGCCTGTGCAATACAAGTTTTTATTAATGGCTTGGATAAAAGATGAATGAATGCTTATTAAATTTCAGGTGATAGAAAATAAAGAAGGATATTTTAGAAGGCAAAAATAAAATTCAAAAACAGTGCAACCCTCACCTGTTTAGAGGCAACTCCAAACACACTGTTCAGCCAGGCATATGTAAAACAACAACATATTTTATGGTCAAATCGCACTAAGTAAATTCCTACTAATATTTTACTTTCTTAAAATACACACTTTTAATATTGTTTTAAGCAGTGCTAGTGATGCTTTACAATAGCTGTCTTTGAGAGTTTTCTTGTAAACCACCCTGGATTTCTCAGAAACTTTTAATTTCAAATTAGATGTTGATTTAATAAATTAGGCAGAAGAAACAAATGTTTAAATACATCTAAATCCCACAGACCTACTGCCTCCTAGGCGCATACTGCAGAGAAAATAAGGCATTGCATTTCTAGCCAGCATAGCCACAGGATGATGGGAACTGTGGTTCATGACACCCAAAATATATTAGTTTGGGTAAGGCTGGATTAAATTATAAAAGCAGATGAAGGTAAGTATTTTTGTCTTTAACAAAATAATTGCGGGGGCGGGGAGTTGACTCGGCCTTTTAATTTCAACTCACACCAATTTCTCTTAACTTGCCATTCAATCCAAAGAGTTCTATTGCCTGGATTTTAGGGAGGGGAGGAGGCAAGAATAGACCACAAAGCTAATCTGCAAGTTTGCTCTCTCGCCTGCCTGCACACCACCTTCCTGTGTGTGTGTATGTGTGTATTTGTATGAGCATGTGTGTGTGTGTGTGTGTGTTTGTGTATGAGAGAGAGAGAAATCCCCTTTTTGTAAGTTTGCTTACTCTGCAACGCTCCTGGTTCTCCACACTTTCGCTTCCCTGCTCTCTCTCTCTCTCTCTCTCTCTCTCACACACACACACACAGGTTAATAAAAAAAAGGAGGGGGAGAAAGGTGGAAGCTCTCCTTTTTTGTAAAACCTTGGCTTCCTCCACCTCTTCCCCTCCTGGCTCTCTCTCTCTCTCTCATACACACACACACACACCCTTCCTGTTTTCTCTTCCTCGTCCTTTTCCTCCAGCTGCACCTGAACGGAGTGGGAGGAAGTTAAAAAAAAAAAAAGAAGGGGTGGAAGAATGGGGGAAGCTCTCCTTTTTTGTAACACCTCGGCTTCCTCCTCCTCCTCTTCCACTCCTCTCTCTCTGTCTCTCTCTCTGTGTGTGTCTCTCTCCCTCCCTCCCTCCCTCACACACACACCCTTCCTGCTTTCTCTTCCTTCTCCCCCTTTCTGGCCTGGCAAAGCAGAGCCACACGAGGAGAAGCCCAGCAAAGTGGGGCATGGCCGGGCGTGATGGGGTTAAGCTGGGAGGGGCGGGGCGGGGCGGGCTGAGACAAATGAGCTGCTGCTGCACACCACCAGCCCCTGAGTGCTCGCTGCTTCCAGGGTGCCTAGCTGGGGTGGGGTGGGCCAGGGCTGGGGCAATGGGGGCCGGTCTCTTGCCATTTCTGGGACAGCCCCAGGGGGCCAAATCTGGGCCCTCCCCAGACCGCACCCGGACCGCGGGCCTTGTGTTTGACATGTCTGCAATACAACATCAGACTTGATTATAGTTTGCATACTATAGCAATAATGATCTCGCCTTCATGGCACACTTATCACAGAGGTGGGTGATATACTGTAGCTCCTTCAGAACTCCAAATAAAAGATGTCAACAGAGAAATTATTGTGTGCCATCCAATCACAGTCATAAACAGGTAAGACTTTGTTAGCTGAGGGAATCCTGCTATCTGATTTCCCATTGTACAAACTACTCACCTTTACACTGATACATTCTAGCAAGCGTTGTCAGTTTTTTACTAAAAATATGAGCAGTTTTTCAGCATAGCACAACGTAATATTGTGTTTCCCCCAAAACAAGACCTGGTCTTATATTTTTTTTGCCTCCAAGAGAGGCACCAGGTCTTATTTTCAGAGAATGTTTTTCCCGCTTACCTTAGGACTGCCATAGCCAGGCCTCCCATGCCCGACCACTTACCTCGTTGCCCCACTTCTTCTGCGACCTCTTTGGAAAGGCCTCTGATGGTGAATTGAAGGACAGGGGGCGTCACGCGTGTCAATCTGGAGCTTGTTTGGCAAAATGGAGGCTGGGGGTGACATGCGTGAGCGTTGGCAAGAAGTCACAGAAGAAGTTGGCTGGAGAGGCGAGGCAGGTGTCGGGACATGGGGGCCTGGCTGCAACTGTCCTAAAGTAAGTGGGTGTGGGGCA